GAGAGGGCTGAAAGCCCTATGAAGCGGTATATAAGTCTACTGCTATTGCTATTGCTATAGTTGATTATTTGCTTTACTATTTGTTTACTGACTGTTTGGAGTTACATGTCCCTCGTATTGCAAAATATTCCCCAGAAAAAAAAGTGATTTATGACTGTTTTTCACACTTAGGAACGTTGCAGCATTCCCATGGTCATATGATCAGAATTCATATGCTTGGCAATTGGACTACATTTACAAAGGTTGCAGTGTCCAGAGGTCATATGATTCCCTTTTATGATCTTTGGACAAGCAAAGTCAATGAGGAAGCTGGATTCACTTAACCACTATGGCAAGAAAGATTGTAAAATGGGAAAAACCTATTTAGCAACTGTCATGCCCTGCAACAAAATGTTGGGCTCAATTATATTCTTCAGTCAAGTGTTTCCGCAAAAATAAACCCTAACCAGAAAATAAGCCCTAGCCTGATTTTTAAGCATGCTCCTAATATAAGCAACCCAAAATAAGCCCCAGTTAAGACCGCCATCAGCCAGAAGAACATGACCAGCACCGGAGGTGGTGAGTGTGCAGGGGTCAATGTTGTCTGGCAGAAGCTGCAGCATCCACAGTGCAGGTGAATTGATTACCTGTCCAAACAGCAAGGGGAGGCAGAGGTGGGGGGGGAAACATGCGATCCAGATGCACCACTCAGGCTGTGGGAAAGCCAAGAGTCAGTGGGCTGGAGCAGGTGAAGAGCCACAAGAGGCTCATCTTTGTACTGCAGCACTGGCAACAGGTGGAGACAGATGCACAGGGGGAAGGCAGATTCAAGAATCTGCAAACTCTCCATTCCTTCCCCACTCCTGGGGGAAGGATATTGCAAAATCTCCATTCCCACCCTGCTCTGGGGCCTGCCAAAGGTGGTATTTACTGGTTCTCCGAACTACTCAAAATTTCTACTACTGGTTGTCCAGAACCTTTCAGAACCTGCTGAATTACACCCCAGAGTGAATGTCATGGCTGAACTTCATATGAAACTCAGTCAGGTTACTATGGAAATGGAGAGTGTAAGGCAGGTTAGAGTGAAAAACCCAAAGAGATATAAAAGTAATATTACCAGTTACAGTGCAGTCAGAAAAAAAAGGTTGTTCCCTACTAAGATGGGCTTTTGCTCACCCAAAGATTCATATTTGGGGATGATTCTTACGTTCGGTGACATTTCCATACCAATAAAAAGCACTTTGGTATATGTTAGGTTATGATTTAGTTTTAAATATGGATTGAACCTGTTGGTTGGAAGGGTGACTGATAATGGTTTTTGGAATCTGTAGCAGGCTAAAAAAGGGCTAAATAGTCTGACTGGTTTTAGTTTTTTAGAGTAACCTCCCTAAGCCAAGTATCCTACAGCTGTTTTGTTGTTATTAGTTGCAAAGTTATGACCTCATGGACAACATTCCTCCAAGCCTTCCTGTCCTCTACCATCCTCTGGAGTCCATTTAAGCTCATGTCTACTGCTTTGGTGACTCCATCCAACCACCTCATTCTCTGTCGTCCCCTTCTTTTGCACTCAATCTTTCCCACAATTAGGCTCTTCTCCAGTAAGTCCTTCCTTCTCATTAGGTGGCCAAAGTATTTGAGTTTCTTCTTCAGGATCTGGCCTTCTAAAGAACAGTCAGAGTTGATTTCCTCTAGGACTGACTGGTTTGATCGCCTTGCAATCCAAGGGACTCATAGAAGTCTTTTCCAGCACTATAGTTGAAAGGCTAAATTCTTTGCTGCTCAGCCTTCCTTATAGTCCAACTTTCACAGCCATGCATTTCAACTGGGAAAGCCTTGACTATACGCACTTTTGTTGGCAGGGTAATGCCTCTGCTTTTTAGTATGCTGTCTAGATTTGCCATAGCTTTCCTCCCCAGGAGCAAGAGTCTTTTAATTTCTTGACTGTAGTCCCCATCTGCAGTAATCTTGGTGATCCTCTAGCTATGTTGAGGGATAATTGCCTGAGGTGCCATCTAGCTTGGAAGGTTTAAGAGTTTGTAGATCATTGAAGGCACTGGGGAGGATGAGGTTAAAGCTAACATTATTGAGGAAAGTTTGTAGACAGATGGAAATGTGATAACTGAACTAAAGTTATCTTGATAAAGATCACAATTTGCACTATTCAACAAACTACAAAAACAAGGCTTAGTTTAACATAATGTGCAAACTCAGTAATTGAATTTCATAGCACATAGTGCTCGAATGCAAGTCTTCTGGCTCCAGCTTAAATCCAACACTTTGGTAAAAGGCTATTACACCAATATTCCTAAATGAAATGAGGAGTGTAAATAAAATAGAAGCAGAGCAATTTTAATTAATTTTATTTATTTACATATGTCAAATAAAGATTTTATATATATAAATCTGAGTTAAATCTGCCTGCGTTACCAAGAAATCTTGAATCAGTTTGTTATTTTGGATTTCTGTCTACCTGCAACTTGCAGAAGTTTGCAGTGCAACAGAAACTCTTGGATGCATTTTGGAAAGTATTCTTCATAATCCTAGAAGAGTCTATCAACCTTCCTTTTAATTTCTTTTCCCATACTTTCCTCCATCTTCCATCAGGGAAATGATTGAATATTGAATATTTCTATAATTAATTATACATATCAAGCTATTTGTTGGCTTGACAAATGTCAAGTTCTGTTGCAGTGTCTAGCATGTTGCCAGTTTTACCTGCCTATTTGTAGTTAGACAAGGTCTTCCCATCCAAAGTTGTGATTAAGTGTTGGAAAGTATAACTCATTTGTGTGGAGTGCACACACAAACCAGATCAACTTCCAGTCAACCTTGACCTCTACCCAGTGCATGTCACTACATTATCAGCCAATATTAATATTTGTAGAATCTCCTCCAATGGTTTTTAAGCTTTTGCCAATGCTTTTCTTCTTCATGAAATACACCAGATTATCTGAAATAACTTGAACAGGTTTTCCTGTTTTTGGGCCTTTCTCTGGAGTGAAATGATAAAGATATCTTCCACCGGTTCACTGCACACAGAATATATTCTTCGATGGTACTGGGGAATAGCTGGTCTGAATTGTTTGCTTTCAACATAACTTTAATTGCATCCATATGGTGGTTGAAGAAGATGCATTCTAGTTAACCCTTCTTACAGAGCTCATCAAATACTTGATCTAAGGCTGACATATCAAACACAAGGCCTGCAGGCCACATCAGTCCTGCGATATTGTTAGATCTGGTCCGTGGAGCACCCTGGAGAGAGCAAGGGACCAGTCCCTGTTGCCACAGCCTCAGCCAGAGGCTAGATCTAAGGCTATGTTTTCTAACATGGGTGGCTACCACAAAGTTGTTGTAGATCAGCATGAAGCCAGCAGCAACACCTCCATCAGCTTTTATCCACATCTAAGTTTGCAAACTGTCAATCATGCCTGAGCTTGGAAAGGTGTGTGTGTGTGTGTGTGTGTGCAGCCAAACAAATGTGCTTGGCTGCTAGCAGTTTGGGGAGCAGGGAACATGTGTGGCATTGAATTATCCTATTGAGTTAGCTGGCGTGACTTGTTACATCCTGACCCAGCCATTCCAAATCAGCTGCACCAGTGAGTGGCGTTGAGCTGGCCATGCCCACCTAGTCATGGCAACCTGGCTACAATCACCCAGCCATGCCCACCTGGCTTCTGTGAATCATCAGTCTTACATGCAACTGGCACTTTGAGGGCAACCATACTACTGATGCGGCCCTCAATGATACACCTGATTTATGGTAAGGTTCACTAAACTTAAATGTTTCTGAGCCTAAAAAACATTTTCAGAACTTCCTCAAAATTCTATATTTGTGGAATCCTCTTGAAACAGCTAGATAGGTACTAAAACTCAATGTCATGATTCCAAGTAATACTCCCAATTATTTCATGACTCTTGAGATTGTGGCTTTCTTAAAAGATCCTGTTTACTGGATACATCATATTGGCACGATCAAATGTGAAACCAACTCTGAATAATCCCCGTGCTTCGGTATAATTAAAGAATAGATACTGGCCACCACCACTCCTTGTGTCACAGGTCGTGTTAGCCAACCAAGCAGGTGATGAACCTCTCAGCACTTCCTCCTGCCATTGCTAGGGTACGATGAGTTTGCCTTGGTTCTCACGAGTCTATAGCTGTTATGTCTGGCACTTTGGAGGAAAATGTTCTACATTCCATAAGTCTCCCACCCCATAAGCATGGCAATTAGGAAACAATACGGAGAAAATATGGCTCCAACTAGAGTTGTTTTGAGAGTTGACACTCACTCTTTAATGTAATTTGGCTCAATATTTTCTTGTGGACCTAACAGAACTATTTTTTCAATTGCCCTTGAAGAATTATCACGTCTTTCTAAGGTTAGATGAACACTCTAATCCTTTTTTAAAATTAAAAAATTAAAATTAACAAATTTAAAACCAAAACTTTTTTCCAAACATTGAACATTAACGCAGATGAAGCTTGTTCCAAAAAAGAATATATTCAAGAATTAAGGAAGGTAGAAGATTGGAATTATTTTTAATACCAGATCTGAGCGGATCTTAATCCTTCCACAAGAAAAGTCCTCCTTGGTTATCCAAATATTCATAATTTATCCAAGAATTTAGGAAGAATACTGTTGTTAAGTAACTAAGAGCTAAAAATTCTAGTAGATCGAGATTAATCTTCTGCCTATTCTTTCTATATATAAATATTTTAAAGAGATTTCTCTCGATAAATACAATATTATTACATTGTGAGCTTATCCAGAGTTGCTATATTAGGGAGCCTGGCAGGATGGAAATCCAATAAATATAATAAATATGAAAAATGTGCAATATGCATAATGTGTAAAGGATAACAATATAAATAACAAGAATACTATTAATATTTTCAATGCTATGGTACATTATTATATTTTGTATACTACCAAAATGCATTACACTAGTATGTATACTACTATTTAGGTAATTGATGTAATGGCAGTGTAAAACATGACCTCCAGCTGAAAACATTCATCCTTTGGAAAAATATTTATTCATTGTTGGCTTCATTCATTCAAATGGCTTCAATCAGCATTGTTTTCTCCCACTTAAGTTCATTTTGAATTTCAAAAGATTTCTTGGTATGGATTTAAATCATTATACACAGGAAATGTTTTCCAAAAGTGCATTTGTCAAAATATTAAAATCCTCTCACATTAGCATTCCTAAAGAAATATTGATGCTTTTGCTACTAATAAAAGGAAACATGGAACTTGTACACTGGTTTGTTTCATACCTTTGAACTAGGTTAACTGAGCAGCAATGCTTCCTTAGACAATAATAAGTTTTATCTGAAACCATAACATTCTTGCAATTGTTACAATTACATACTCAAGTGTTCATTCTTCATATATTGATCGTAGCACAATTTATTCAAGATTACATTAACATCTTGATGGAATTAAAATCCAAGAAGAAATTTTATCAGGACAGAAATGAGGTTAATTGGGAACATACTAAAAAAAAAAAATCAAGAGAAAGAATTGCACAATCATCAATAATAAATTTTTAAAAAATACTAGAATTGCTGTCAAATGATTGATGTTTAGTACACTAGTGACCCAGAAATTTCATTTTAAAATTAAAATATGAAAACAATATGAATTTTCAAGTACACGCTTTTGTTCCTATGCAAGATCTTATAAACATTTAAAGTTATTTGAGAATTCTTATGCTTATATTTTTACATTCTCGGCTACTTTCCACATTGGAAAAAAAAATCGAACACTGACATTGAACATACCCAATATTAGTCGTGCTGTCAAAGCATTCCAATCTTTTTATAACATGTCCCTTGTATTGGACACCGTTGCTTCTTTCACAAGTGAGGCAAGAACATTGTTATATCTGTCCAGTACCATCTGAGAGGAAGGTCTTTCAGCTGCATTTTTTTTACATGCTTCATGTATACTGAATAAGTGAAATCTGACAAGATCACTCCCATCAACATCTCCCAGGAGAAAGTTAGAAACATCAGGGATTTTCCATATGTCTATCATTTCATTATAGGCAGGCATGAGATGGTCTTCAAAAGGTACTTCTTTTCCATGTGGCCAAAGCTGCTCAGGAGCAACCCATTCACCTTCCAGTTCCCGATGACCACACTTGATCAATTCACCAGCCCTCCTATTCAAGAGGGGCAAGGCATCCAAATCATTCACAATCACCTGAAAGCTGCTAGTCAGTAAGTATTGTGACAGTGTTTTATTCAGATCACTGGAGTCACACATAACAAAAGTGCCAAGGGGGTTATTGTGTAAAAAATGGATAATGCTCACATAGCCTATGGCAAGCAGAAATCTGTTGTGCCATGTATTATAATTCTTATATTTTGGAAGGTTCAATATCTCATTAACATTTTTCAAGGACCCAAATGGGTGATACTCCGTAAGGATCATGAACTCCTCTTCACAATATCCAAGGAGTTTGACCACATGCTTGCTTTGTAACTTTTTTAGCATCTGAAGCCCATGAATAAAGTCTTCTTGTAGCTCTGGCACAGTTAGCTGGGAAAGTGCCACTTTGTTTTCTTTCCACTCAGAAAGAAAGACCTAGAAAGAAAGGGGTGGGGGAAGAAATATGTATATGCATCTCACACATACAGTCACTAATGTTCACTATTATTTAAACATGCTATTCATTTTATGAGTTAACAAGATCCATGCCCTTACTAAGCTTCCAGTTATAACAAAGGCCACTATATTTCAGTATTTCAAAACAGATCATGCATAATAGAACTAGTCAGCAGCATTTAATTAATCCTTAAGTCTCCTACAAAGATGGATCAAACCCATCTATAATCATATCTATAAACTGATACGGAGTGTTTTCTATGAATGAACCAGAAATATTTTTATTATAGTACATATTCCTTCATCTATTCCCTGCTTTTATTCTATATAATTTGGTATATAAGTATATACTTTTAAGTATTAAAATATATATCTTTCTAAATAACTAATTTTCTCCTTCAAAATATGAGCTTAGAATATTTTTCTCTTTATGAAATGGGGGAGGGTTTGCCTAAATCTCAGCTCAGTCATACTCAGTGTATATAAAGCTAAGAAACTTCTTTCAAAATTCCATTGAGCTCTTCTTTTCGCAAGTAAGTGGAAAGAAAAGATGGGGAAAGCAACTGGAAATTAAAATTCAAATATTTTCTAATTCAGGTGGTAACAGCACCATTTGGCCATGCCCAACTTTGACCTTAAAAGATGAGAGTTCATTTATTAATGTAGTAATGAGTGCCAATTAGATGTAAATAACACAAGAAAATTTAGTAAATATCATGTCTATGCCATATCTCAACAAATAAGTTTTATTTAGAAATACTTCAGTAAATGAAAATAAGTTATTGTGTTATAAGCACTTGTAAAACATATATGAGTATTTATTTCTAGACGTCATCTGGAATCATCAGCATTTACTTACAAATTGATTTCAGATATATTAAGAACAACAATTTTTTCAGCAGCATCTTCATGAGGGAAAGGGGAAGTGACATAAAATAATGGCTGATATGACAGAAATTCTATCCTTTTGTAAATGTGTTGCAACTGCTTTCTATACATAACAATGTAATATTGATTTTATAATTTTGACAACAATAGTGGATTCTGAGAATACCTATGTATCTCTCTGTAGATTGGGGTTATCATTGGCCATAAATAGTGACCTGGAAATGTATAGAATAATATTTTATTATGTTTGAGATCCATGAAGTTAAACAAACCCTTTTTACAGCTCCTCCACCAACATGCTTCAGTTTACGGACTTCTCTTTTTATAGCCTGGCAAGACAACCATGGTGAGCAGTTCTTCATAGTTCCTAATTTGAAGTAACCACGTGGACAGAAATTTTGCTCAACATAGGATTCTCCATAGGAAAAATATACATTGCCGAGGTATTGGTAGAGAAACAAGATCACAAGCAGCACAGTTAAAAACAAAAGCAAGGCTAAAAGGATCAGCTTTTGCTTAATATCACTTTTTAAATCACAAGCCTTTTTTGTCCATGTTGTAAAACTATCATCTTTCATAATTTCTGAAAAATAAACAGTAACAAATTATTAATCGAACATAGCAAAGCAGCAAAAGAAGTGATATTTCAGAATGATTTTATTTTATTTTTGTACATAGCAATTCTATGGTCTCAAAAAATATGAAATATACATAGAAAATGAGAATGTGTTGTGGTAATATGTTTCCTTTCATAAATCATGATATACTGAAACAATTCTGCACACAGGGGAAAATATGCATTAATTCAATTTACTCAAATGTTAGATACATGTATCTATTTGCATCTGTTTACTAACTGATATGAGATTCAATTAATACTTTAATTTTAAAAACCCATAATTTCAAATTATATTTGCTGAAGCAAAATATCCCTTTTGGAGAACATGATTAAATGTATAAGGGAATAAATGTATGCACCACTTGTGGATTTAAGAAAGGAAAGCAGAAGATTGTTTAATTTGGTTCTGCACTTCAATTATGTTCTTTGTGAATATCTTATAGATAGCCTGATGAATAATAAACATTGTTTGACTATCAAATTCTATGGATCTCTGGTAGAAATCATTAATGAATGTTTTCATCATAGATATTACCGTACTCAAATTCTAATATTTTAAATGCTTCTGGTTTTAATGATTTCCGTAGGAAATATTTACTGTTAATAGCTAATGACTATTCACAAACAAGTCTAGCTGAATTTACTAAGGCTTTCAAATAAATTTTAAAATTCAATACACTTAATGAAAACAAGACATATAAATTCACGGAAGCTACATTATTTTCTGATTATTTTTAATCTGACTATTTCTCGGGATGTGTTTTCACAACTTCTGTTTACAGGAAATCCATCTTCTTGGAGATAATTTAATATAGAGAATATAATGGAATATATTTCTACCGATATGCCTAAATTAATGTATAGATCTTAAAGAAACAGATAGGACTTGAAAAAAACAACAGAGTAAAAAGAATTTAAAAATCTGTCTGGTTTGCATCATCTCAGAAATTCAGGGCAGAATGACATAAATTTTATTAAATAGATTTATCCTATTGTACTATGCTTACCTGTTCCCTATCTTCATAGTTTATATACCATTATCAATATCGGCATAAGACAATCCCAGGGTTCCCTGCTTTGAGCCACACGTGGTATCCGGCGTTGCACATAGAGCTAAAACAGTGTAGAGTGACATATTCCCTTTCTTTAGTTTCTCAGATTCTGATTGAAACATAAAGCCTTTCTGTGCTGAAGCTGACAGGTGAAACATATCTTTCTTTTTACTTCTTAACAAGAACATTTGGAAAACTAAAAATATAGTTGGTTGGCTTTTACTATAAACTTGTGTGTGAATATAACTTTGATAATTTTGGGACATTTAAGTGTTTCTAGAGAGAGATTTGAATGGATATATACATTGTATTACGGTAGCTTCTCAGAGCATCCAAATAACAGTCCTTTATTCACTAGATCATGCTTTGTCTCCTTCCATTCATGTTTAAAATCTCAATAGGATTTTTTTTAACCTAAAATGCAAAATAGAAATGCTTAATTAAAAAGTGTACAATAAAGTGCATTCAGAAACTATTCAGACTCTTCACTTTTTGTCAATGTTATGCTGCAGCCTGATCCTACAAAATGTAGGATCATTTCCCCCAATTAACCTACACTCAGTACCCCATAACGACAAGTGAAAACAAAATTTTAGAACTGTCTGAAAATTTATTTAAAAAGAAAAAACTGAAATATCACAATGGCATAAGTATTCAAACCTTTCAATCTATACTTTGTTGAAGCACCTTTGGCAGCAATTACAGCCTGGAGTCTTTTGGAGTATTAGCCACGCCTGGATTGGGGGATCCTCAAGCTCAATGGCAACCATTGGTGGACAGCCATTTTCAGGTCCCTCCAGAAATGGTCAATAGGGTTCAAGTCAAACCTCTGACTTGATCACTCTAGAACATTCAGAGTTATCCCTAAGCCACTCCTATGTTGTCTTGGCTGTGTGTTTAGGAACGTTGTCATGTTGTAAAGTGAACCTTTGGCCCAGTCTGAGGTCCTGAGCATTGTGGAAAAGGTTTTCATTGAGGATATCCCTGTACTTTGCTCTATTTAGCTTTCCTTCAACTCTGATCAATCTCCCACCTCCAAACCATGCTTCACTGTTGGGATGATATTGGACAGGTGATGAGCGATACCTGGTTTTTTCCAGATATATCATTTAAAACTGAGGCCAAACAGTTCCATCTTGGTTTCATCAGACCAAAGAATTTTGTTTCTCACAATCTGAAAATCTTTTAGGTGCTTTTTTGCAAACTTCAAATGGGCTTTCATGTGGCACTGAGAAGCTTCCCTCCAGTCCCTCTGCCATAAAGCCCAGATTGGTGGAGGGCTGCAGTGATGGTTGTCCTTCTGGAACTCTGTCCCATCTCCACACAGAATCTCTGGAACTCGGTCAGAGGGAGCATTGGGTTTTTGGTCACCTCTCTTACTAAGGCCCATCTCCCCTTCATTTGACCAGGTGACCAGCTCTTAGAAGAGTCCTGGGTGTGCCAAACTTCTTCCATTTGAGAAGTATAGAGGTCACTGGGCTCTTAGGAATCTTCAGTGTAGCAGGAATTTTATTGGAGCCTTCCCCAGATTTGTGCTTTGCAATAATCCTATTTCTGAGATCTGCAGGAAGTTCCTTTGACCTTATCTTTTAAGTCATCCCAGAATTCCAACATTTGTGTGTGTGCATACACACGCACGTGTGTGTGTAATCATTGACATACCTTTTGCACATGCTTGCTAATAAAATGAGTTGAAATAATATTATGCTATTGTTTTCCTATTTGCCAAAACAGTTTATATNAAAAAGCCCCCAATTTTGTGAAGGGCCTCATGATGAGTGTGAGGATTAGCTGCCAAGACCTTGTTCCTAGCCCAACATCTGAAATCACGCGGTTGAAAGCAGGAGACATGACCTTCACTGCTATCTAAAATTCTTTTTTCCAGGGAATATGATAGCACTCTTGGGCTTAATTTCAATATCAAATATATATTTTTTCTAATTGGCACCTTTTAAGGGGAGGATTTAGATTGTCAGATTATTTTATTGCTCAACTATGGCATATTATATATTGTGATAGTTGTTGTTTATTATTAATATGCCATCCACGATTGGAATCCTGCGATAGTGTTGCCAAAAAACCCCCAAGGGCCACAGCTGAGACAATTTCCCCTTCACACCTCTGGGTCCTACTATCCAGATTGTAGCACTCCCATTTTACCCATCCACGTGGCTTACCCCTCCATATATGCATCAGTGCACGTTGATGAGCTTCCAGAGATGAATAAACATATGATTGTGTATATATGTATTATTATATTCGTGTATAAAAACAGATCAGAATGGAAGGGGCAGCATCAACAAGAAAAGTGAAGAACACCTCTGTGATTTGCTGCTACGACATGGCTTCAGGTAAGCTTCTGGATAGCAATAGGGAAGTTTCTACTTTTTAATGGATGGGAGAGCTAGAATCTTTAATAGCTATAAGACATCCATTCAGTGGGTCCAGCCTTTATATTGAAAAAAAGCTTGTTCTCTAATTTTCCATGCAATATATATCCATTAAGCAAAATATAGGAAGCTGTCTTAGTTATTATTAAATTTGGGAGCTAAAAGGGTGTGTTTGTTTTTATTTTCTTTAGTGAAATTTTAAAATTCTATACCAGTGAGGATCAAACTGAAGCAATTCTCCCCAGGGAGAAATAAAAAACAAAGAGAGAATGCCACTAATTGTGGTTTACTCGGCACAAACAGGTATCTGAAAAAATGCTCAACTAACAAATGGAGAAAACAAGAACTGCATATATGTGTGAAACTGTTGCAATGGCAACTTGTAAAGCCTCCTATTTATCAACCCCTCCCCCAGAAGCATTATGATGGTCAGTGTGAAGAGAAAGAGGGAGTGGGTGTTCAAATCATGCATCCTGTGTGGTTGTGTATATCAGTGCTTCTGTTTTACATGGGTTCCTATTTGCTTCTGCCACCCAGAAACCCAACTGGTGCAATGCTCAACTGAAGCATCAGCAGAGATGGAACCTTTGTGCGTGTGTGTCTTTTGGATGTTTTAAGTTTCCAGTCATGAAAGGAACTTGCAGTTAGTGCTTCATTGTGCATTAGAGTGGTGGATTTACCAATATGTCCTCTTTATTTAAGAAGCCAACCTCCTTCATCTTCCTCTGCAGGGACCAGTAGACCTTCCTCTTTGCTTACCATTGGCTTGCTTATCTTGGCTCTGCAATGGACAGACGGAGGAGCCTTCCCCACAATGCCACTCTCCAGTATGTTTACCAATGCTGTGCTAAGAGCACAGCATCTCCATCAGCTCGCAACAAATACCTACAAGGAATTTGTGAGTAGAGGTCCATCTTTTAGGTCAGCTAAACTTTTAGGTTGCATCATCATTCCTGGTAATAGCAAACTAGAGTGTTCAGCAATTTGGGAGCAGAATAAGTTCATCTAAAAGTAACATGGGGAATTCTCTAGGTTCACATGATATATTAAAGCATAAAAAAGGGGTATACAAGTAGCACTTTAATTTTTAAAATGATATGAGAAAGAGTTTTCCCTCTCACATGTTTTTATATTCTCATATCTTCCATTACCACATCAACGTAGAGTTGCCACAAACCAGAACAATTTTTAGATAAGGTTCTCTTTTGAAATATTTACTATCTTCCAAGTAATATTAGCATTTCATTGCTTCTGATTTAATGTCTTTGCTCAGTTAATAATTTTTTAGACAATGTTATTCAAGACTCTGTACACTCTCACCTTTTCTACTTCTTTGTAAATGGTGGCGTTTTATGGGACTTATAAAGGAGCGTTCCTATATCCCAGAAGAGCAGCGATACTCCATGAAGAATTCTCAGACTGTACGTTGTTACTCTGACACTATCCCTTCACCCACGAGGAAAGAGGAAACTCAACAAAAAACAGTAAGACAACTCCTTTCATGTTTTATTCCATTGAAGAATTATTTTGGTGCCCCAAATATATATATATAATCTTGTGTTGCCTATCTGAAAACTTCCCACTTTCACAAAATTTCCAAGAAGTGTTAACAAAGAGCAATAGGTGTATTCTAAGCATCAGAACAGAATCAGACAGCTAGACAGACACCCTGGTAAAAGTGAAGGGGGACTAAATGCCGTAGTCAATCATCTGAAGGCTGCCAGGTTCTCATTTCTATATTACGGGATCTGATTCCTTAGAGGACACAACACTGGAAACTCTATGCTTTATCACATTTGCAAATTCCAAATATATTTGGCCAAGATTCAGGCAAAGATCTAGAAGTAGACTATGACTCTCTTGCATTTACACAAACATGCCCTGGCAATATCTGTTTTCCTCTGATGTTTCCCTATGGTGTTATCTTTATCTTGACCACATACTTAAGCTGTTGACCACCATTAAACAGTGAATCAGAATGAAGATAAACACTAGAGACAACACATTTTCTGCAAACAAATTGTACTTTTCTATCAATGCAGGGATCTTCTGTATAGCATTTGAACTCAACACCGAGAAAGACCAACCTACTTCACTAAGCCGAAGTCATGCTTTACAAATCACAAGCCTGGATTCATAGAGCACATGGTTAAAAGAAAACATAGATTATAATTTTGTATAATGAACTCAGGCATATTATGCCAATCCATCCCAGGGCATGTTACTCTCCAAATAGTACTTCCTTGTTGCTTCTTTCATTTAATCAATGTCATACGTAAGCTAGGCAAGAATTCTTAATTTGGCTTAATTAAATGTCTAAAAACCCATCCACTGTGGCTTATAAACAATTATTTCCCATATAGAGAAACTTCCACATTAAGAAAAAATAAATAAATCAGATCATATTATGGATTAGTTTTACATGTCCTGTTTTCATTGGAGGAAAGAGATATATTCTATCTATAAACATCTAAAAGCCATCTAGGAAGCATTTTTATCTGTCCATACATGTCCTCTGCAATAATGAAAAGTGTGTAACTGCTATTTAGCAAGAAACTGGGTTTAAAGCGGGCTCAAGGAACTGATCAGAAAATAGAGAATTTGCCCTGGCTGGAATTTTTCTTCCCTGTTGAACTTCTATTGCCGTTTATCTTAAGACAGACAATTGAATACTATTGTCCTTGTTCTCCTTCTTTGGCTCTAGGAAGTCAAGAGAGTAAATACAAGTCTTTAAATTGCTTTTTTAAAATGTATCTATTTTTCTAGGACACGGAACTGCTGAGGTTTTCACAGATTCTCATCCAGTCCTGGCTAAATCCTATACGGTTTCTAAGTAGGATGTTTACAAACAGTCTTGTATTTGGGACCTCAGATAGAGTCTACGAAAAACTCCAAGACTTGGAACAAGGTATCCAAGCTCTTTTGAGGGTAAGCAATCCCTTCCAAGGAGCACTTTTTAAATGCTGCCACAGATTGTACTGTACCACCTGGCTAATGTTATGAATATGAACCTAGAGAAGGCAGACCTCTCTATTCCTAAAACTCAGAACAATCACAGGCATCAAAATTATTAATTTATCAAACTCCCAATGAGAAAACCTTGCTATTATGATTTATTAACACTACAAAATATAGAAATGTAGAAAAATATATGTAGTCCTTGACTTATGAACAGTTGCCCAGTGACCATGTGGGGGTACAATGATTCCTCAAAAGGTTTCTTGATTGAAAGTTCCAATGGTTGCTCCCTCCTTGGTCACATGATTAATGTGCATGCCTTTTTTTTGTCTTGGCTTTTCTCTCTTTCACACACACATACACAAAATACATGGCTTATTC